CAGCTCCTTTCCACGAGTTCGCCCATTGAAGGAAAAACTAGTTCAACTCCCGCAAAAATTCTGCCGACTTACGTCCGAATCCCAAACATCGTCTTTGGGACATTACTTTGGCCAGTATCTCTCAGACTCTGGATGGCTAGAGTCCACGGAAATGAAAGAAGCCTTCATGATCGTGGACTACACACCAAATCTCGCACAACTTTACAACACTACCTGGAGTATCGCTGCCGACCAAGTTGCGATATGTCCCGTTCCCGAGAATGCATGCTTCCTTGACTTCCAAGAAGAACGGATCCGACGTCAGAACAATGTTCTATACGTCCAGGGCCCATTCAAAAATGACATAATCGAACAAGCACTAGAGCTTGCAGATGCGATTCTTGCCGAATTTAGGCCGTTTACTCTGGAAACAAAGAGTTGTTCTATGTGGGGCATTTCTACAAAGTCCACCACCTTGCTCATTTCTCCAAGATCAAACAATCACCCAAAAACCTTGTTAGAGCGGCCTTCAATGTTTCCGGAAAAGTTGCAAACGGAGTTGGCGAAAGCTGTGCAAACTCTGCACATCCAGGTAACCGCTACGGTGCCTACTGTCGAGATCCATAAACCGAAGATAAAGCCCATGTCACTGCTCGTCGACGATAACGCCGTCAATCTGCGCCTGCTAGAAATGTACTGCACTCGCCGCAACATTCCGTATCGATCGGCAAGTGATGGGCAGCAAGCTGTGGAGCTGTTCTCTGCAGCACTCCTATTCAGGAACGATCTGTCATCACAGCAGAAATCAGACGAGAGGCCCTTTGATTTGATCCTCATGGATCTACAGATGCCGGTTTGCAACGGCTTCGAAGCGACAAGACAGATACGACAGCTAGAGAGAGAGCAAGGATGCGAGAGCAGTGCTCTGTTCATTGTCACCGGCCAAGACTCGCCAGATGATCGAAGGGGCGCAGAAGAAGCAGGCGCAGACGAGTTCCTCGTGAAGCCAATAGGACCCAAGTTTCTCGATACATGGGTGAAGAAGTGGTTCCCCGACGCCGACATCTGAGAGTTGTATAGACTGTCGATGGTCTACAGCATTTCTCGGCTAATAGCACATCCGGATTTGAAAAGGATAACTGCTTTAGGCGACTTCGTATTGAGCATTCTGGATGCGAGAGCCGACTTGCCCGAAAGCAGGACTATCGGATGGCACTCACCCACATCCACATTCATCCTGAATCTATGGAACGTATTCATGTTTGAGTTAGTATCTTCTTCATTAGGTTATTTTTGGAGTCCGTCAAAACTCTGCGGAGGATTTGTACGGCTGGAGGTGGAGTAATATTACAAAGATCTTTTGATCAGTTTAGTCGTGTGCAGATGGACACAAAAGATGATATATCATAGCGATTCAGCAGTGGCAGATTCTGTACTTATACGCTTTAATGATAACGACAGTTCCGAGCCTTACAAGAGTTGTACGCATGTGGCAGCGATAGCAATTGTGAAGGTGGACTATGACGTCATTCATTTGTGATCCTTGGTCGTGCTCGTGCGATATATCAAGCGACGTCTCTCTTGCGATGGCTATCCCGGTCATCGCTGGGGAAGATACGTCTGATATTACGAGAAGATAGGCCTCCAAGTTAGGCGCCCACGATGCTAAGATAACATTGCCTCTCCGTACTCTAGGCGCCAACGTAGCCATAACACCACAACACCACAACACCACAATACCACAATACCACAACACGACGTTAACATGGCTCTCTCATGGGTTGCATACACATGCATAGGTATTCTGATCGCCTCAGTATACATCAGAAAGCGATTTGGAAAACTCTCTTCCCAGCTTGAATGCGATGCACTAGCCGAAAAGCCCGGTCGTGTGAGGCTCGATGATGGCTTGACAGCCTCTGCGCGGCAATTGAGGACAAAGCTCACTGCGGCCATCCCGCACATCGTCATAGGACCCGAGAAAACCGAGGAACATGAAAAGTCGATGAATGGGTACTGGGACCAAAAGGCTTGCGAAGTACCACCAGCGTGTGTCGTACGACCCCGCAATGTGTGGGAATTGGCGCAGGCGGTCAAGATTCTAAGGCGGGAGTTTGATCTCCGCAGCGAGAGAGCCAAAACATCCAGAGAAGACGTCGAACCGGTATTTGCGATCAGAGGAGGAGGGCACTCTCCCATTCCCGGTGCGTCGAGCATCAGAGGCGGCGTGCTCATCGACCTATCGCTCTTCAATGAAGTTACCCCAGCGGAGGGCGGGAAAAGTGTGATTATCGGCGCAGGAAATAGATGGATCGATGTGTACCAAGCCCTCGAAAAAGAAGGCCTTGCAGTAGTCGGGGGACGTAATGCTGCTGTTGGTGTATCTGGCCTGACGCTTGGGGGAGGATTATCTTTCTTCTCTCCGCGCTATGGGTTCGTGTGCAACAACATCCTCGAATACGAAGTCGTACTTGCAGACGGATCTATAGTAACGGCATCCGAACATGAGAACCCGAATCTCTGGAAAGCGCTAAAAGGTGGAGGAAACAATTTTGGCATCGTAACACGCTTCACTGCCCGCGCTTTTCCGTCAAAGAATGTCATGAGCGGCTTTCTTTACTTACGATCATCGCAAGCCCCCAGAGTCTTGTCATTATTACATTCTTTCGTCTCACGCACCATGTCCGGCGAAGTCAACGAACGATACGACCCCAATGCCGCCGGTCCACTCGTATGCTTTACCTACCTCCATTCTCTACGCCTCCAAGCCATCGCCGTAAACCTCGTCCACACATCCCCCACAGCCAAGCTCCCAGGATGGCCAGAAAGCTGGCAGAGTTCCGATTTTACACGACTACGGCGCATCTGGCACACATGCAAAGTCCGCAGTCTAAGCGATGCGACAGACGAGCTGAGTGTCCTGAACCCACCGGGCAGAAGGCAAGAATTCGCCACTACGACTATCAAGAATGACCAGAAGACGCTGGAGGCCGTGCATGCGGCGTATCGAGATGCGATAGTGAAGATTAAGAAGTTTCGCATCAAGGGCATGAGCTGGACCCTTGTTCTACAGCCTCTGCTCCCATCATGGACACACAAAGGCGACTCGAATCCACTCGGCCTCGACGAAAGCAACGAAGAACCGATGGTGATTGTTAGTTTCACCGTCAACTGGGCGTTGAGCAAGGACGACGACATCGTCCAAACCATCACTCGCCAAGCTATCGAGCAAATCGACACCTTCTCCCTACAAACCGGCACGCACCATTGTTACCGGTACCTAAACTATTGCTCAGCATGGCAGAAGCCCTTTGAAGGCTACGGAGCCGAGAATCTAGAGTTCCTGCGGCGAGTGAGCAGGGAGGTCGACCCCGAAGGCATGTTCCAGCGCGGCTGCAACGGTGGATTTAAACTTGGAATGCAGTAAAACTTTCACATACGACCACAGGACATCGAAAATAGCATCTCCCTCGCGATCCGTCAATTCTCGTTGTAACGCTTCGAGGTCAATTAACTGGTTTGGTGACCGTTTTCGGTCATCGCGATCCTGTTGTCAGTTTACGGCACAGCGCCCACCACAGCCCACTTCAGACTATTAACGGACATTGAGCACTGGAAAATGCATGCGCTTTGGATCTTAGTGTATGCTGTTCTAATGATGGCGCCCGTCAACTTTCTAACAATGACCCGCCTCCTTATTCCTTATTCCACAACATTCTCCCTCTCCTATTATCGAGTCTCTCCCCTTCCAACATCGAAATGCCTCCCAAGAAAAAGTCCAAGGTTGATCTGTCGCATCTGCGCTCTCTTGTCCATCAGGAGAACGCACCTGCTCCGCTTACAGCTGATCACATCAAAAATATGATGATCCCGTCGAGCTTCAAGGCACACCAGTATATAATGTCTCTGTGGGCAGAGTAAGTACCTATACCCGTAGACATGTTAAATACCTTCGTTAACAATATAGCTTCACTAGATCAGTTCTGCAAGAGCCTATTAGTTCTAGGATTAAATCAGCACTAACAGTGTTTCGCATCTAGCTATTCCTTCGCTAGCTTGCAGCAACGAGAACAGGGCAGCTAGAAGAAAACATCACAGATACGACGATCCGAAATATGTTATCATCGCTCAAACAAGCTATAAAACTATATACCAGCTACCAGTACAGCGTATTATAGAACAAGGATCTCGACAATTTCATTTAGAAAGACCTCGTGCAGAAAAATAAGCTTGCAACTAGCGTTTACACGAAACTAATTGCTCCTTTGCTAGTAGCAGAAGACCTAATTCAGTTTATGTGGATGTGCGATGAATATTAGCACCCACATCTACGTGCACGCCTACAACTAGCGTTCTTAGTCGTGCTTATAACTCTATTAGGCAGCCGCCCTGGTGAGTTCATTAAGTTAGGAGCATAGAAGCACAACAACGAAGGACTTCTCTACGGCGATATCGATCTAGTGCGATACTAGAACGGCACATATATAGGGTGCCTTCTCTATCTACGGTTGCGTAATCGCAAGGGCCATCGGAATAATAAGAAGCATTCGTAAGCATAAGTTGTTACAGAGGTTATTCTACTAGACGGCTAACTAGCGAAGTCCTATTATGCTTTTATACGAAGAAGCCACAATGCGATCTATGTATCTAGTCACTTATTTTATAGCCTTAACTCTAGCAGACGGTGTCTTTGACAGTTGCAAGACCTTCGAGGATATTAAAACGAAAGAGCTACTACTAGGAAGCTTATTGTACAAATATCGCTACAAGCTAGAAGCGAAACAAAGGCTAATATTGCGAAGCATTAGCCCTAATGGCACAGTCTCCGAGAACGACATTCTAATATACAATTACTTCAACAATATGATGAAGGGAATTAGGCAACGGGCTGGGTACGAAGAGAGGCTAAGCGCATACTGCTTTCGCAGGGCCTATGCGAAAGTAGTAGAAAGTAAGAACCAACTTATATAATGCGATGTCTTGATAACAGCTAACCATTTCATAGAAACAGCTACACCTGCCTAGAGGAGACTGCTGATAGGTTATACCAACGATGATACAGTTATGTACTATATATCTAGTCTCGTTGGAATTAACAGTCAATCCATAGTCTATCGGAGAGAGCAAAAATTAGAACTTATCGACGAAAACACCTCTATTGTCGGATCGTGAGTATCGGTAGAGACGTCGGCTGCTTGACACTTCGGCCCGACTTCGGCCCACCTTGCGCAGAGCTTAGGTATACCTTCGTAGCAGCTATGTTCGTAAACAATCAATCAGAACCACCGAACAGAATGCATTCCTAGTTATCGTTATTTCCCTTTACGCACTTAGTGCAAAGCCAACCAACATCTATGATGTTAAAACGAAACCTACTAGCACCTATACTACCTAGATCTTAACTTACGGATCGCCTAAGTAGGAACGCGGATTTAACTAATAGCCCGGTCGTTACTCTTCTAGAACGTACTCCAAGCTAAGAGTATGCATTACGCCGCCAATCAAGAACGGTTGCATACCGTAAGCAGCGCGGAGACTTCTTTAATGGGAAGCTGTTAGCTCCTAAGTACGCAGTCACAGCATCTTACTAAACGGCTTCGGATTCTGAAAGTACAGGCTCGACTCCTCTACGCTATCCATCGCGTTATCTTAAGGCGCTATGGAAATTTGAGCCAGAACGGGAGAGAATCGCAAATTTGATGTACTCCTACTCCAGGAATAGCGTTGCGCCAGACAACAGCACAGCGATTAGCAGGAAAGAAATTCCACTTAGCGATATTCTCCAGCCTATGACAAAACTAGCTCACCCGGAAAAAGAGCGATACGTATATCAATCCGCTGGGCCGACAGAGGATAATTTGTAGCGGTGTGAGGAGAGGAGGAGGACTGCGTTGCATTGTGTAGCTATGGAGGAACTGCAGCTATATAGGTGTGTGTGATGAGAAAGTGTGGTAGCAATAGCCGTACCCAACTCTCACCTAAGTTGGTCTTGGCAAGGTCCAAACCGTTACAATATCTACCGTAGCTATCACGAATGTTAACTAGTGGTAAAAGAACAGGCTAATAAGTTGTCGGTACGTAAGAAATGTATCGGCTTACGCCCGCAAGTTTTTGCTATAGATGGCTATGATGATGTGTATGTCACTGGCGCCTTGGCATGGGGGATATGGGCGGGATCTTCGGGTTTTGTGATTGGGGTAACGTACCTCACGGCTTCGCCGCCACTACCAGTTAGCCACCACTTTTTGCTAAGCCCCACTAAAACCACAAGCTACTCACGCACAGATTGCACGTTGACAAGACCTTGGGCAATTTTTAAGATATCGAATATCAAGACGAATTTAGAGACGAAAGAAACACCAGCCATTATACCCGCTGAAATGCGCTGCTGCATAGCAATCACGTGGGGTTAGCGTCTATCTCATGAATCCACCAACCGGCGCAAGCCGCTTAACTAGCGCCAACGTGTACTAAGCATGCTGCAACTTCGTGTTGGTTTGCACATAAGCTGGTGATCACAACAAAGCCCTATGATCGTATGTGGAAGAAATGATGGTCTCTGTCGGATTACAGATGTTAATCACGGGCCGCGTCGGTCCTACTTTGGTCTGACTCGTACTAACCCCGCGTATATCTTCATAGCAACCTAGAGATAGAACAATCACAACAATCACCAAACAGAATGTATTCGTAAATATCGTTATTTCCTTTCAGCACTAGTGCTATAGACCTACCAACAGTCTCGAAAATTATAACTAAAGTTTCAGGTGGATGACAGCCTGTTCTTCCTAACGCTCTCCGTCCCCACGCCTTTTAAGTACTTATTCCGTCTACGACCATGCCTTATACACTTACAGAACCTGGTTGCAGGGCTATGTCTAACGCTATTATACATTACGTAAGTGATATCTATACTCTACTACCATTAATGGCTCTACCGTCTAGTTCTGTTACATCATACCGTTCCACAGGAAGTTCCAGAGGTCCTGCTGGCGCCATACTATACGTAGGCAATTTTACATCCACAGTCTCCATATCTTGTTCCCCTGCGATCCTTGTTGCAGAGTCGCCTGATCTTCGTCTCCGATGCAACAAGAAGCCAATGATGGCGAGTATAGCAATACCTCCCACCGCACCCGCAGCTATCCCGCCAATTGCGCCACCCGATAGCTTTGACTCTTGAGTTTGTGGAGGAGATGTACTAGAAGACGTAGGCAAGGGTACAGTCTTTGACGAGCCGTCCGGAGAGTCCGCGCAAAACTCGCTGACAAAGTTGTTTTGTTTATCCACCGCGACGATTTCGGAAGTCTTTGATCCGGTGTTGGCTTGCCAGACGGAGAACCTCCCAGCTTCTTGGTTGACCATTACGTAGGCAGAGCTCATGAACAGTCGGCCAAGGACTGGTAGATCGTTGTCATTCTCGGACTGGAGCGAATTGATCACGACCGATGTGTTCGTCTGAACTGCGCCATCGGCGGCGATATATGTGTCGGGGACGACTAGTTCGGTGTTGGGAACATTTATAGAAATGCTGTTTTAAAGCTTGATTGTCAGACCGCCGTAATAACTACATCATGATGATTAGCTGTATGTTTGGCGAACAGAATTGGCACGGCACTTACACATTATTCGGGTCGAAAAGCATTGTGAAGTAATTAATACCGAGACTTCTTGCTTCGCTCCTCCCATCTGGAGGAGTTCCGCCTGCGAGTGACCGGAAGTTGTCGTAGTATCTCAATGGAAGGGACATCAGCCCTGCAAAACTAGGACTAATACACGCTTGTATGACCGCTGACTGCGATCCCATGAAGATGCTCATATCGGTGCCATTCGGCCAGTTGAGAAGGATATCGCTTATCGTTACCACCATGCCTGTCCCACACTTTCCGCCCTGGAACAGCGGCGCTGTGAAATTGATGTTTTGATCCGCGATCAACGATTTGTCCAGGCCACCAAGAACAAGTGAACCTGTGGTCTGCTTTTCAGCGGGACCACCGACTAGCCCCCAGAATATGGAGTATGCTCTTGTGCCGATATCGCCGGCGGATAAGAGTGCTTGCAGAAAAGATGAGTTGCTGCCTAAGCCGAGTTGAGATTGGCTGGTGAAGGCTTGATTGAGGTCCTGTCTCGGCACGCCGAACTTAAATGATGATAGCGAGGTGTTGGTGCCAAAGCTCAGAGTATCTTCTGTCCAGTCCGCTTCGAAACCTGCACTATTCTTTCGGTTACCGATCGATCTGTCCGTGGAGGATTTTGTGTATGCGCCGCCGCGGAATGTTACGCATGCTCCAGATGAGTAGGTATCTGTACAGTACCCGTTTGTTCCGTAAATGTAGGTCTCGTTGTTGTCACTATAAGGGGTGTTAGTCATAGACTCCGCAACAATCAATTCAATCCGGTCACTCTCCTAGACCCACTTACCTATCTAGGTAGGGCTTAAACTCCTATAGGTAACTACTAGGCTTAAAGCGGTAATCAATCAATCCAATCTGAACCTTCTAGGACCCACTTAATTGATTGTTGCGGACTGTGGTTAGTCAGCTATGCCAGATCCTCTAGCTCGCCGAGATTTTAGTATTTTCCATCACCACAAACGAGAAGATAGAAAGACCGGTTGTAAGAGACTTGCAATCTGTATTTAAAGACGTACCCACTAGCGAAGAATGATATGTTCTGCTTATTGGAGCCAACAGTCATGAAAACCCCTCTTACAAAGGCTCCATTAGGCAAAGATACATTCTGAATAGGGGCGACAACAGGCAGAGGCTGGCATTGGCTTCTCGCAAAGGAAGATAAATGTATAAGCCCCCAGAATAGTTAGAATAAGCTTGTGGAGGGACCCATTGCAATACTCGGTTTTGAAGATTAACTTGCAAGGGAGGGCTAAGAAGAGCAAGGAACTGCTGGTATAAGGCAACAACGAGGCGGCAAGGCCATCGCAGGAGATAAGATCTGAATGAGTGGAGTACCATATCCAAATTTAACTTCGATGTTGTACTTGCGTATAGTTATGCGCTGCTGCAGGGCTATCACCTAGGGTTAGCGTCAGCCTCATCAATCCACCAATTGGCGAACGCCGCTTAGCGCCGCCTAGCGCCGACGTGGGACGTTTTCTGCAACTTTGTGGACGATTAAGAAACGGGTCGGTCTTTGCCTGTTTCTAATTCGTTGTTGCAATCAGATTTTGCGATAATCGCTGGGATACAGGCCTGGCTCACGTCCGACTGCCGTGTCGGTGTCTTAATAAAGCTGAGCTGTGCAGCAATGCTACATCGTAAGATTGCGCGCTGCGATAATTGTCTCCTTCTCTTCTTTGCAAGAGACGCATTTCGGGTTCCCTTATAGGATATGTCTTAGGCCGTGCGACCCAGTTGTTCTTCGCCGTCTCTAAGCATTCCATATCACCCGCGTACGCTACAACCACGCATCGGAGTCGCGATCGAGAGAGAAATCAGAATTTGTGCGCGAGGAAAGCTCGAAACGAATACCTGAACCGAGTTGTCACATGTTCATTTCAATCACCTCTCGAGTACCCCATCAACTTGCCAAACCATGCTGCGCTCACGCAGAAAAATTGAGGTCATTGTGGTAGCAGTGTTCTTACTTTGCGCATGGTTCCTCTTTGACGCCCATTTCCATGATCTCCAAGAAGAAAGCGTCGAGGCTAGCGCGGCTAAGAAGCTATGGAGATATGAGGCAACAAAAGCAGGAAAAGAGCAAAAGACTATAGAGCAGGAAATTGCGCATAGCACGACGAAAGAGGAAACATCGCCGACCTCCACTGTCCCGCAACATTCAAGCACATTAACGCACAGTACCACAGTCGCGACACCCAGCCCATCGTTACCTGATCGTGTTGTGGTAATGGCAAAGCTTCCCGAAGATGAAACAGACTGGGTACAAACCGACCTGCAAGACTGGCAATCAGCCATCTACAACATCGACACCGAAACGCCACACAACACATCGACTCTCGATCCGCTCACCAACAGCACCTTACGTACCCTTCGAAACAAGGGGATGGAAGCAAATGCATACCTCGCATACATTGTGCAAAATTACGACAACCTGCCTTCAACAATCGCGTTCATTCATCCGCACAAAGATGGCTACCCGCTCGCCTGGCACACCGACAACAGCGAACATTCCAACGTGGTATCTCTGCAAAGCCTCAACATCAACTTCATCCAAAGCAATGGCTATGCGAATTTACGTTGCGTCCACGATCCCGGTTGTCCGCATGAAGTGATGCCGTTCCGAGACCCACCTGAGGATCATCGAACGATCGAGGCAGCGATGCCGGATGCGTGGCGAGATTTGTTCAATAATAACGATGTGCCGCACATACTGGCGACTCCTTGCTGCGCGCAATTTGCTGTGTCGAGCAAGCAAGTGCAGAAGCGGTCTTTGGACGAGTACAAGAAGTTTTATACGTGGTTGATGGAAACTTCGCTGAAGGATGAGACTAGTGGAAGGGTGTTTGAGTATCTTTGGCATATACTGTTTGGTCAAGACCCTGTTTAGTAAGTACCAAATGAGGGGATTGGGATCCGCAACTGCTGACTTTGATAAGCTGTCCTGCATACGAGAAGTGTTATTGCGATGTTTATAACAAATGTTGATAACGCTCTGCATTTTGGACTGACTGAACAATCTTGGTCAGCTAAATCTTCAGTTGTCTTGGGAGAGCCAAGCCGATATTGAATCTGGGACGGGCCGAGATCTCGGCTGTCATACGAAACCGCACGCATCACGGAGTTAGTCCGACGATAACGTGCCTTGGCTGAGTCCGTATCAAGGCCTTAGATATCGGTTTCAGGCCACGAAGGTTTCAAGATTTGGATGTGGAGCTGCTGATATTTCGCTCAAACCAAACATCGACGTTATAAAAGAGCCCTAAGCTTGTTGGTTCCGCTCCAGCTTATGATCGCGATACGATCGTGTAACGGGCTGAGCCCGAGGTCACATGACTAGGCTGCTGGCCTAGTCGCTTCCTTCCCTTCTGTCCCTCACCTTGCCTCAGCTGCACGCGGACCGTGCGTCAACCCAAACAAAAGCTGAATGGCCGCCCACTTTCTTCTTCTCTTCATCTCGACTGTAAATAGCATCTGGGTTAGGTAGCTGGAATACAGTACCTACAGACCGTTCACATCACCACCCCTTCGCAAAGTGAGCGAACTGGGATTTGGCGACTCCGAAGCAACTCCGAAAGACGAGCACAGAATCAAGGGACGTCTGAGTTTATTTGATATATTTACCCTTCAAGCATGACAAATGTTCATCCTGCTTCAAGAAATCTCCACCGTCTTGGTACGCCCTGAGAATTCCAGAATTTCGCTTGTGCACTTGCGCGACCATGCGGTCAATAGCATCCGTAGTCTGCTCCTCGAGGATTTTCTCATTTGCCTCTTTCGCTTCTTCACGAATTTCATGGAGACGCTTGAGCCAGTACATCCATCTCCATGGGGTGAATCCAGTTGGTGATCGCTTCCCGAATTCGGATTCTAGAAAGTTATGCCCACCCTGCCCAATCTTGCTGGGACAATCATTCCATGAGACATCGCAGAGTTGGACAAGAACGTGACCAGCCTCTTTGACCCACACACACACAGCCGGCATAAGCTGCATCAAATCAAGAGTCGAGATCCACTGATGTGAAGCAAGTTCATCTGGCTCCCCTCCGACAATCACGCGTCTTTCCTCAAAAGTAGAGGAGAACAGAACAAGACCGATCTGACAGATTCGATCCTTGCTAACGCGGGTCGACGCCAGCTTAGCTAAGAAGGACGCGAGATTGAGTCGCTGAGCGTTTTTCAAGGTCGCGCAATTGTTGATCCAGAATTCGGTCATGTCCGTGGCCAGGAAGGGGAGGTCATTCCACACCGTGCCATCGACTGTTCGTGCGATATCGATGCCGTAGTTCCCAGTCACGGGCCTGGTCAACGGTCCCAGTCCCTGAATTCGGACGATATCGAGGACCAAGCGGTCGTGATCGTACGTATCATGTGCCGTGTGCACACTAAGCTGGTAGTACATGTGCCACATAGAATGAATGTGGTGTACCAGAGAATCTATACCATCTCCTAGGCTGCAGTATCGATTGCTGACAACCCCAGCTCGATTATAGAAAGCTGCTCCGCGGAGCTCATTAAATTCCCCACGCGCCACAGATTCACGAACGCTTAGCATATCCTTAGCCATTTCGTCTAGCTTGTTGAGTTCAGGAGGGCCCTCTGGCGAGGGGCTTAGTAGAGCATCACGGAGGTGATGCATGTCGAGTTCGCGGTGGTGTTTGTGTTGTTCAATAAGTCAGTAGAGTGCAGGAAGAAGGATAAGAGAGAAAGGAAAGTACTTCCGGACATGCTTTTAAACCTAGTCTTCTTGTGACGGTTTGGGTGGCTAATAGACCAAAATCCCATAGATCCACCTCATCCTAATGTAGATTAGATTGGAGCTTGAACGCTGTTGATCAGGCCTCCTGAGTGGGCCACTATTTTGTTCTAGCGACGTCAGCACCCGTATGAGCCTTCTGATAGCGTCCGCGGGGCGCGTGAAAGTCATGCTGATCCCTATTGCTGGTGTCTGCCTTGCCTCAGGGTGTGGAGTAGTGTTTGGCATAGAGAAGCAAGGGACCAAGCAGCGGCAAGACTCAGTAATACGGGAGGTCAAGAGGCCCCTGCATGTATAGGCACGCTTGACCCTTGCACAGGATGCAGGTGCAGTGCACATCGACTTGCTGAAGGTGCGACAGCTCCACCTCACAATTAGCACTAGCTCGGCAGAATCCCACCGGGGATTACACCAGCCTTGGTCTTAATAGTAGAGGAAAGGTCGGCATGAGTCTGTTGCTAGGAAGGTGATAGGACTTCGGGAACTTGGCAGATAGTGAACAAGCTATGATTGGTAAGAAGCGACCGCAAGTTCAAGCGTTATTCAGAAATTCGCCAAATATTGATGCACAACTCCGCGATGGCTCGTTCAACTATCTCGGTCAGCTCTTCCAAGACGCTTCAAATACCAATGGGAACGGGGGCGCATGCCGTTGTGGTATGATCGAGCATTGATAGCTCGATCGAATACAAATATTAGCGCCGCCTTACCTTCACAATTACTTGACCTCTTCATTACATGTTTGTGTGATGACTCGGGCCACGGTAATGTTATTACGAAGCGAATAATTTATTAGTCAATCGATGAGAGATTTAGTCCATTGCATTGAGTACAATCTAAGACTATACCGTGACTGGCCACATGTTGAGCCACCCCACCAACATGTACATGAAGTTAGATATGAAGCTGTAGAGCCACTGCAAATCGTGATTATATTGCGATAACTTGGCGTTGTGCTATGTACATGCTTGCGAAACTTTTATACTATGAAGATTTTTTTTGGTGCTGTTATTAATCGTGTTCGTGTCGTTTTGGGTGGAGCTGGCGATGCAGGTTGCGCCTCAACAGCCCCCCCCCCCCAAACGCGATTATCACTCCTCCGCTTTGTCTGTCGACCTTTAGGAGGCTTTGAAGCTGTTCTCTTGCCTCTTTGGAATTGTTGTAGAGCTTATTGAGAGTTGCGATCTCGTTTTTCTTGCTCTTTTTGGGCCCTCCGCGCGGCGGCTTCAGCCGCCTTTTTGCGCTCTTCTGCCCGGGCTTCTTTCGCACTTTCTCTCGCAACGCCTTTGCTTCCTCAGCCATCTTTCTCTTATACAAGGTATTTGCGACTTTTAGCTCTCTCTTCTGTGCTTTTTGGGGTTTTTCTGCTTCTTCTTCTTGATGTTTTACTCGCTCGCGAATCTGGGCTTTGCGGAGCTTTGAAGGACTCCAGAACACTGCACTACTATGATACTCTTTGCGCTGTTGAAGGTCTAGAGGCTTGCTCCTCTTCTTGTGCTTCTTTCTAAGTGCAAGAGCTTGGCGTAAGCACTCGTCTTCGGTGTTGAGTATATCGTTATGCGTCTTGAGGGAGTGAATGGACGTGCTCTTTTGTTGATTCATCTGTCTCGTCTTTTACCGTAGCATTGAATAAATTTCGGAGCTAAATCCAGCTGCTCTTGTTGCCCTTTGGCTCTGATCTTAGACTTTCATCTCAATCCGAAGCGGTGTTTCTAAAGCGCTTCAAGACTGCGTCGGCATTTGATGGCACCACCCCTGTGGCTTTAAAGGAATTCATGATGTTCTCAGAGGTAAAGGAAATGTTCCAGGTAGGCCAGAAAAGTGGGAAGAATTCTTCTTTACTAACAGGAGTGAGTCCTTGGCTGCGATAGAGAGAGTTGGTGGGTTCGGACGAGTACGCACTAGAAAGAGGCTTGAACATCACCACATCTAATGGCTGAAGACTGTGGGTCGAATGAGGAGGAAATACGATAAGGAGGATCTTGTGTTGATCGCAATATTCAATAAAATCCATAGTTAGATGATCCATGGCCGTCAAGGATCAAGAGGCAGTAACTTGAGCGCGCTTTCTTCCTAGTGCTTCTCTCGAACACCAGTTCAAGCCAAGCTAAACCAATTTCATCGTTCGACCATCCAGATGGTGAATTAGAGACGAAAACCTCGTGTTTGTTGACCTCTACATCCTCTACCCAGCCATTTCGAAGTGCTCCTTTACCTTGGTAGATGATTGCGGGAGGAATCTTTGTTCCATCAGCACAAATGCAAGCTAGGAGCGTTATCCATTCCGGATACTTGGCAAGCTAGCTGTTGTGGCAAAAGAGGCTGTACATGCCCATGTTACGTAAGGGCAGTACGGGCGTAATAAAGTCCACTATGCGGTTAAGCGCTAGGCTCCGCGCTAATAGGGTACTAGGTAAATAGGGGTGTTCCGTAGACCTACAGCGGGCTAGAAATGCTAGTAGTATACAGCGCAGTAACGCTAGGAATATACAGCGTAGCAACTTTAAGATAAAAAATACGTTAAGCTATTCTGTAGAAGCTTATTAAAACTATATTAGGTTGTTATTAAGCGTCTTAGACCTACGCTCCGGTATGATAAAGTGTAACCACGTGACTAAAGTCACATGATATCCTATTGTAGCAGGCACTGCCCGGTGGGCAAGTGCACTTACCTCTGAGCCGAGAGCTCTTGTACACAGATATCACAACACGACAACAGATAGCAATACAATCGTTGATCCACAGCCTCCGACCCGACACTGCTCACGCAGTTACAGGATAAGTTTGTCTCACCGCTGAGAGAGCGGTGTGGCAATGTGGTGGTAATGAAGTAACCAATGTATTGATCTGTATGTGTGTGTCTAGGTGGCCCTTTATAGGGTAACCAGAAGGCTGTGTTTACATGACGTATCTATGATACGATTGAGTGTAGAAAGTGCGGACCAAGATGAGAGAGGAGCACCAGGACCAACATGTGGTAAGTGAGGTGCTCTTACCCAAGGCACATCTGGCCGGTAACAGTTTGTCTTGCTGTCGAGACGCGGTGAGAGCCTTCACTAGTATTCACGGTGAATCAGGCTTCCCGTGCTCTGATTGGCCAGGCACTGATTAGTCAGCTGCTCCGTGCGCGCACCATAGATATTCTCCCTTCTCCCGTAGCTCCAATACAACAAGTTCACGCACATTTCTCCACCTTCATCACTTGCACGACATGAACTTCTCATTGACCCGAAGCTCACTCACTATGGTGGTTGGACCTGTTGGTTCGGGAAAGTCCACCCTCTGTAGGGCGCTATTGGGAGAGCTACCATTTATTCAGGGCCATGTGTAACAGGCTGAGCCTATTACATGCGCTACGCTGTGTGCGTAGCTGTCGTCATGCGATTCCTTCGAGATACATCTATAGGTTTCTGTCATCATCCATCTAATTCTACTTCGGCCCATCTTCGGTCCGCTCCTGTATTTATGTACAGCTAGTATCCTTTTGTAGCTCTTTGTCAAATCCACTCTGTTACAAGGCATCTCTTGATCAGTCATCTGTGTATCGTCATCGATACGGCCGCTGGGGTCTAGCCCCTTACACCATGTGGCGTTCAGGTCGCATCACAACCATATTGGCTACTGCGATCAGACTGCCTTTCTCTTCAACAAGTCGGTGAGAGAAAACATCGTGGTCTGTTCACCATTTAACCCGGCAAGGTATGCCGAAGTTATCAAAGCGACCGCTCTCATTTACGACTTTGCTACGCTCCCTCAAGGAGATGGCACTAACGTTGGATCTGACGGAATCACGCTCTTTGGTGGCCAGAAGCAATGTGTTTCTCTCGCTCGAGCTTTGTATCTACAAGCTGATCTGTTTATCCTGGATGACGTATTTAGCGGATTAGATGCCGAGACTGCGGAGCATGTATTCAACCAAGTCTTTGGACCAAACGGCCTGCTGCGAAGACGGCGGACTACCGTGGTATTATGCACTCATAGCATGCTGCACCTTCCCGCAGCGGACCACATCATTGCACTGGGAGACGGCACCGTCGTCGCGCAAGTCAGTTTCGACCAACTGAAAGCTCATGAAGGTTTTCAGCTTCACGCGCTGTCACAAAGGTCGACATTCACGACGTCCATGGAGCCACAGCCAGAACCACAATCGCAGCTTGCCGAGGTACCGAAAACACATAGCATATCACTGGTGCCAGCCGTAGGTAGTGCGCGGCAGTATGGGGACCGAACAGTATACAAGCAGTACATTAAAAGCATGGGCGTGTTTCTAGCAGTGTGCTCTAGCTTCCTTGCAGCGCTTTGGGGATTCTTCACCAACTTTTCAACCGTCTGGCTCACGTTCTGGACCAAAACTCTGAAAACGAAAGGACAAGCGCACTTGGACAGCTTTTACATAGGCATCTATGGCCTGCTCCAGGCCTGTGCTCTTGTATCACTACTCTTCCTATGTATCGCCATCTTCATCATCTCGGTCAAGAAAGCCGGCGCAAATATACACTGCGATGTCTTGCACACTATAATCAGGGCACCGCTTGCTTTCTTCACAAAAACAGATACCGGCGTCATCACGAATTTGTTTTCGCAGGATCTGAATCTCATTGATACCGAGCTGCCAGAAGCATCCATCATTGCACTTCTGACACTCGCTCAGACAGTTGGACAACTTGCTGTTATTCCCACGTCATCAGCATACCTTGCAATAAGCTATCCGTTCCTTGTTGTACTGCTGTATGCTGTGCAGCGATTCTACCTACGCACTTCGCGCCAGATCCGGCAGCTTGACCTCGAGGCTAAGAGTCCCTTGTACACACATTTTCTCGACACGGTCAGGGGCATTGCGACACTGCGGGCGTTCGGCTTCATGCACGACGAGATTGAGAATAACTCTCGTCTAATCGTGTCTAGCCAACGGCCATCTTATTTGCTGCCCATGATCGAAGAGTGGCTGAATTGCGTGCTCAATGTTGTAGTCATAGTCATGGCAGTTTTGCTAACAACGCTTGCCGTGCGGTTGCACTCCAAGTCTGGGTTTGCCGGCGCTTCTCTCTACAGCCTCTTGACTCTCGGAGAGAACCTTTCAGCCATCGTCATCTACTGGACTAAGCTAGAATACTAACAAAACAATGTTACTATATAAGTGGGAGGAATCTTTGTAATAATTGGTAAATTCTAAGCGCTATAGGTTTGGCGACCTTTACCTAAAACAAGTGGGCTGTACCAAGATTTAGTAGAATTGTGATTATGAATCTTGAGTGCCGCTGTCTTACGATATTTCGGTGATAATACTAAGATGCTGACTATATGATGAATCCGGGTTTCTGAAAGCGTAAAAAGAGATTCCAAGAGCCAAACCTCCGCGATAATCCCCATCCGAGGAAATTCAGACGAACCCCTAGATCTAATTCACTACAAGAAAAGGAAACCCAAACAACCGCACCTAAAGCCCAAATAGCTTCTTTGTAGGCAGACACCGAGCTACCCACCGAGAGCTCACCGCTACATACACAATGTTGCTTGGTGAAGCTGGTGAAGCTGGGGCGAAATGCGCTGACACTATCGCGATCTGCGCCTACTACGCATTGTCCTGGTACCCAAACACGAATTACTTTGTCACGACGATGCACAATACGGACGCTGATCGTGTCTGTTAATTGCAAACGCGGCGGTTGGTAAAACTAGTCCGGCGCCGACAGTGAGGATGGCAGCAGTGAAGCTTGAGATGGCGAGGAAACTAAGGACGGGGTGAGTGTGCCAACGCTGACATCGGACATAAGCTCAGCACTCCGGTCCTCGCTCTACTTACTCTCAGACCATGCGAAGTGAAAGGAACGAGCTACAAGAGTCAGAAATGGCGTGTGTCAAACAAGCGGAAGAAGAAGAAAATCTCAAACTCATGCGACCATCAAGTTAATTGATAATTCCGACAAGATCGAAAGATGTTTATTCCTCCAATAATGTTATCAGATCGGAAAGTGTACCGGGATCATGGGATGCCGATCGCAATCGGGCCGTGGAGTATCTTGGTCGTGTTTCGGTACTTTGTCGGCTCGTATACTTTATCGCCACTGCACTCACGTTCCTGCGCGTCATGGGCGGAAAGTTCGGTCCGGGGGTGACCATTCCGATTGGCTGGATACGGATTCGAGAGGTTGGGTGTTGAAGGCGGTGGATGTGTACATCCATCAGGAGAAGACCATACGTGGTCCCGATCGTCAGGCGGATTCTCAGGCTAATGAAACATGGCATTGGTGTGGACTGGGATAGATTGTGGAATTGAAAATCCTGCAGTGACGTGTCTCAGTGTCCTGGGCACTTTCGAGATGATCCAAGATAATTATATTGGGCCACTAAACACTCTGCGAAATTGTGAGAGGGATGTGCCACTAGGGTTTTGAAGTCGTACGTTTTCCAATTTCCTAGCGTAGGTCTAGTTAGCACTCTTCGCTTGTGGCCAGCCTCGGCCGATCCAGTGTTCAGCTCGAAACTCCAGTCCCTGAAACGGAAGGCTGATGAGAAAAGCAGCTTGTCAACGTTGGTTAGTATTCTTTGTGGCCTGCGACGGATGAAGTGGTCCAATTCCACGATGAATGTGCTACCATGCAGGTTCTCCTGAATCACCTCTTGTCAGTAAGACTCATCTGTATTCACTATCTAAACAAAGCGCACTAGCTCTTTCCTGGATCGGTCAACTTTTAGGTCAAACACGTCCAGTCGCTGATAACCTCCTACAACATCATGATATTGTTTACCCTCGATGCAGTCATCTAGGTTCATATCGGCATAGAGTATGTCCTCCTGGTCTTGCAACGCACCCACATACTCTTTGTCTGAATTCTTGTAGATGAAGCTTCGAAGTGGTGCGCCCGTCGGATCTAGGAAGAAGGTTGCGGCTCGTGGCATAACGCGCAAAGTGTCAGCCACTACATCAGGCTGGCTTGCACCGTCGACGATGGTTTCAATCGCATCTTCTCCCAAGTGCCCGGAACATGCGACACCAAAACATTTTGCCTCGAAGCAATGAGCTGCTGCGCGCGTTCTGTTGGCAGCTAAGTTGTCATAATTTGCTCCACTAGTAGTGGAAGATTGATCTTCGCCGCCCAGCTGGCTCACCTTATGTGGTGTTCTTGTCGGCCATACCGCCGGCCAGGTAGAGATATGCACCTGCTCGGCCTGCGCAATCAAAGCGTACCTTGCAAGCGCATTCGTGTTCTCGTCACAGATCAATGTGCCAATGCGTCCGAACTCTGTCGCAGCGATGCGTAGACCATGGCCGTCACCGGGGCTCCAAGTAAGCTTTTCGAAGAAGGTCGGGACCAGTTTGCGGTGATGCACCAGTACCTCACCTTGCGCTCCGATAGTCAGGTTCGAGTTATATAGGCAACCGTTGCTCTGTCGCGACTTCTCGCTGAAGCCAATGCTGACCAAGATGCCGTTAGACCGCGCCGCTTCACGAATTGCTTCCATCTCATCTCCGTCTGCGTAGATCGACTCTTTCACCATGCGCTGGAACAAGGAGTGATTCTCCGTCGGTGCCCTTACAGAGCTCCATACTGGGAAAGCAGCAATGTAGGTTTCTGGGAATACCACAAGGTTGGCCTTTCTTGAGGCAGCTTGCTTGATGAGCGATATAGTTTTGTCAGTCGTTCGAGATGCGCTCAGGAATACGGGCGATACGTGGCAAGCTGCGACACGTAGGATGTTCGCCATACTAGGTCGGAGCTGATATAGTGGTATAACGGGACGGAGCTTGAGTGTAGGTTAGCGATAAGGACCCCGCACGTGGCTCGGTCGTCCCCCGCAGCCTTTGATGACAAACAAACCCAGGTACATACTCACATACTCTTTTCGCTACCCACCCTAATTAGAAGTTTGTTCCAAAAGGAAGGTCCAAACCTTTGTCTGGCTCCCACGGTCCTCCGGGTAAATCATGCCTCTCTATAATACTGTCCCGTCTAGTATTGGAGCATCCAGGGTAGGAGATCCTTCTCGTTCTTCTCCAGATGTAGTCGCCGACGCCACCTGGGCTTAATGAGGGCAACTGGCTAAATGCATATGCCCTTGGAAGTTTCGCACGTTTGTCCACGAAGGTACACACTATCGAAGCATATCCGGAAATTGAACACGCTGCGGCTGGCTACATGATGGTAGTGAGCCCAAAGAGGGTCTCTCTTGACCGACACTTGAGCGATCTCGAGTTTAGCCCTGCAGTACGTTTGCATAAAATTGTTCGGTCAGTCTGCTTCTTGTGGAATGCACCCGGCATAGTGGCAGTGCACTACGAAATAGCCCGCGCAACATATTCAAACATCGGTCAACAAAGTACAGCCTCAATTTAGTTGCGAGAATAATCATGCTGTTGATATCGTAAGCAGAGCATGATATATAGAGCGAGAATTGTGAGGGCGGAGGGCGGAGATTCGGCCGTCTAAGGATCCGGGCCTTTTTCATGGCGCAGTAACGTATGTAAGACGGGCGTTCCCTCGGCCGCCGCAGATCAAGCTTTCCAGGCATGGTGCGCTTGATACTTGATGCTTGTTAACGGACGGTGACGGGTGTTTGGTGTCTTCCAGAAGAGTGGTAGTGGAAGTAGAGTTCCAAGGTTGGTGAAGAACATGACGACGTGCTGGGGCTGTCGCATGCTCATGCCATCCGACATGAGACTGCACAAAAACACGTTTCGCAGCAAAAAGACTAACGCCTTTGATGACGGCGATGGATACTTAAAGAAATAATGCTAGTAGTTCTTAGACAGCGCCTAAGGCCCAGCTCGGAATCGCTAGCCGACCGTATTATGCAAGGCTATCGGAACACCTGCAGCCACAGGACGTTCGTCTTGACAACGAGGGAAGTTGCATATATATGGCCCGAATATAAGTAATCTGTGCCCAGGTACTGCATGGGTCGCATCCGCATCATGGGTACTACCATCCGATCGGACCAAAGCCCCCCACCCCAATCCGCCAAGGATCGTGTTCTTATCACCAACTTCCACTCCCCAGGGAACATCTCACGACCAAGGTATCAGAAGTTTCAACCTGATGGTTCTTTTGCCAGTGATGAACAGGGTAGAGGCAGGCATGGGCGACATCCCAGGCGCGTGATCCGAGCATCCTAGCTAGCAGTACCACGGCAGCGACCGAAGCACCTTTCCCGTTTCGACCTTGTCCCGGTACCGCAATCTTATGAAATTCTCTGTGATTCTCAACAATCCCAGCCAATCACAATACAACGATGGCGCCGTTTGAAAACGCCATTCCGTTGTGGGTCTCCCCAGGTGCCTGGACGTCAAAACCTGTCATCAACTAGTTCGGCCCGAAGCAGTTCTAGCGTCTGGAGCTTTCAATTCATGCCAAACAACAGCCTGCTCAACCGCCTCTGGATCATCTTGGCGGCGCATCTAAGAGATAACCCGACTCCACTTGTACGTTTTGCCAGGCATAGTCATATGATAGAGGCTATAACGGCCCTTTTGCCATGACGCAATTTGTTTCGGCACTTAAGCTTAGCAGGCTATGCCAGTTGCACTGCAGTTTGGTACAGAAAGTGTACAAACAGGGTTTGGTTGACATGCAAGGTTGCAGGTCCTTATGCCAAACGTGACTGGTAAGGCGAAGTAGGCGGTATCTCGACCTCGAGGCGAATTGAGTGCCCCTGCAATATTTCTTGTATGCGTGGCCTACCTGCCCGGAGTATAAGACCCTTCAGTGTATCCACGTTTATCCTCCAGCATCACAGTCGATCTTTCCTTCTCTCATACTTTCCTACATTCACTCAACTCAAGATGCGTACCTCAGTCCTACTCTTCGCTTCGTGCGCCCTTGCTGCCAGTCCCTTCCTGGATGAACCAGACACTGGCATTGATGCGCAGTTCGGTGCCTTCGTCGCCAACAAGACACTCCCTCCACTAAACTCTTTGGTCGGTCTGCCTGACTTCCAATGGGTTGGTCGCAACTTCATGAACGCATCATCATTCACATACTACCGCAATGGCGCAGCGGGTGAATGGTCTTACCGCAACAACCTGGAAATCTTCCAACGCTTCCGTCTTCGACCACGCTTCCTGACGGATGTCACAAACGTCCCCAACACCATGCCAACAACCATCCTCGGCCACAACTTCTCCTCGCCGATCTTCATCTCGCCTTGCGCTCGCGGTGGATATGCCAACGACGCTGGTGAGGTAGGCCTCGCCAAGGGTGCTGGAGAGGCCGGCATCTTGTACATGCCATCGCTTTACTCATCCATTCCCATGGAAGACATCTACGCCGCTCGCGCCAGCAAGGACCAAGTCATGTTCCAACAGATTTACCTCAACGGCAACTTGTCATCAACCAAGGCGCTATTTGACAAAGCCAAGTCACTGGGTGCCAAAGGTCTTGTCATCACCGTCGACTCGGCTGGTAGTGCTATCAGGCACCGGGCTGCACGCTACGGTGTCGGATCAGCAAACACGCAGCTTACCAAGCTTACATGGGAGGTGTTCCAACAGCTCCAGAACCTTACCGACCTGCCACTCATCCCCAAGGGCATCCAGACTGTTGAAGATACTCAGGAGGCAGTCAAGCAGGGCGTCAAGGCCGTTTTCCTCTCCAACCACGGAGGTCGCCAGATCGATGGATCACCATCAACCCTCCAAGTCGCAATGGAGATTCACCAGCGCGACCCCGAACTATTCAAGAAGATCGAAATCTACGCAGATGGCGGTATCCGATACGGCACAGATATCTTGAAGCTCCTCGCTCTCGGTGTCAAGGCTGTTGGTGTCGGTCGTCCTTTCATGTTCGCCAACATCTACGGTGCCGACGGTGTCAAGAAGGCCGCTGATCTCCTCAAGAACGAGCTCATCATGGACGCTGCCAACATGGGTGTATCCGATCTGAAGAACGTCCCTCTTGACCTTATCGACTGGAAGGCTGCCTCCCCCTGGGTTGGCAACGACCAAATATAGGCGACGCTGGAGTTGACGCCGCTTGTTCATAGATTTTCTTTTCTACCTCTTTTCTAACTGTATATATTTTCATCCAATACCACGTTATTCCCTTTCACACCTATTCTCTGTTGTGCACTATAATAAAAACTGTGATATTACAAAGCCTTGGAAATAATCCCGCATCTCGACTTTTCAACATGA